CTGGTAAATGAAGGGAGCTTGACTCAGATTGAGCTATCAAATCTGATAGCTCAGATTGAGCTTTGGCTCTGCTTATGTCATCCACTGTTTTATCCACTGACACAAGGAAAGGCTCTTTCCTCAACTCCTTACGTTTGCTGTTTTACCCTGTTCTCTTCAAAAGGGAAAAGCACTCAAGCAAGAGGCTTCTGGTGCCTCAACTCCAGAGATCCTTGAGAGCTTGGTGACATCTGGTGGGAATTGGAAGGATCGCATGTAATTTATAAAAAATTTTACAAATATTTCCCCCCAACTAGTCACAAAGATTGCTATTGATTTTATACTCAAAATAGCAAACATGATGTTATAATGGTGCATATTGAGCACTGTATAATTTAGAGATCAAAGGGCTTAAAATGCTGATGGGACATAACAGAGCTTAAATGGAAGGTATTTGGGACTGGGGTTTTGCAGGTATGTAAATACCATCTTTTTATCAACCTGGTCAGAATATCATTGTAAAAAGCAAATCATGCAGGTTACATTTGCTCATCATGCAGTGCCAGGTCCCTGACATATAACCAGTTTCCATCATGCTTAAACTTTGCACAAAGCACTTATATGCCCTAGCCTGGGAAGTACCACTGTGACTATGTTTAGCAACCCATTTGCAAGCAGTTGGATATGTGTGCCAAAAGTTTGGATTAGGCATGGGTCTGACATTTGGTGCAAAACTTCAGAGAAGGGAAAGGTAGTGAAGATAATGTTATATTCAGGCTAAATCTGGTAAGGAAAGAGAAAATGGGTTTCTTGAACTTCAGATGATTTATCTCATTTGATCTGCATGCAAATGCATCAACAGACCTTAGTCCTTTAACATAGCAGACTATATGGAGTCTTTGGAGTTTAGTGTTAGGTATGCCCATTATTTTAGGTTCCCTGACCAGCACTGGAGCAGGAAAATATTCTGCTAATACTGAGGTGTTCATGGTACTATTGTGACACAGTGATAAATTGTTAAGTCCTAACCCAGAGAGAAAGCCATGTTCACCATCATGCTATACACATGGCATCTTCTGGGGCAGGAAGGTTCTCCTGTACAAAGTACAGACAGGACTAAAGATAAAATCCCCATTGACAAAATCTCGAGTAGCTGTAATGGGGCACTTAGTTGAATGTTTTTGATTCTGTTCTGCAGGGAGCAGTGTTACATGCATACATGTTTGTGCACTCACAAACACACATTAGGTTGAGGAGTTAACACACGCAGTGAACACACGCATAGGTTGAGGAGTGAATTAATGTCTTATTTTAGTGTAGATTATTCTGTGATTTGGCAGAGGATGAGAGCAAAGAAAAGAGGGCATTTCTCCAAGGAGTTAAAGAAGGGTGGGAATTTCATGCGCCTGCCCTATTTCCTGCATAATCTTCTGGCCTGCATCAGTCATCTGTCTGCTCCTGCAGTATTGTAGTCTGGTGAATGCATCCACATTTACAAGGATATCTTTCCCAATCCTGCCGGTTTTCTTCCAGAAAGTAGAAATCATGTACATTTGTGATATGAGATAGATTGGAAATGGTATATGCTACCTTTTCCATAAGTCTCCAGAACCTAGAGGTAGCCTGGCTGCACTTTGAATTATTCAATGACAAAAAGCTGGGAATCAAAGTGCGCAATTGGGGTTTACAAAACTGTTGCCCTATCAACTAAACAACTAAGGAGGGAGAACTGTTGACAAAATGGAGGGAAGAAAAGTTTTATTTACTGGATAATTTTAATATATTTACTTGGTGGTGGTGTTCCCAGCTTATTCTGTGTCCTTCTCAGAGCTCCAAGGAGATAGCTCAGTTTCATCAGATGCTTTGGTAGAGTTCAAACCAGTGTTATGTAAGTCCTTGGAAAACTGAACATGGCCCTTTGAGCCTTTTGAGTTTCCACTGACAAAGGCTAACAGAAGACATAACCCAGCAGCCATCCACATTCTTAGCTAGGGATCTAAGTGAATGCTGCTGAGAAGTGGAGTAGGTGGAGAAGTCTCCATGGGATTGAAAGTCTCAGCAGGAGCTGGAATGGAGTACTCTGGAAGGAGCTGCTGTTGTCTAGAGCAATGTTGCTCTGAAGGAGTTGAGCATTTGTATTGAGCTGAGAGATGTGGTCATCCCACTGCTCCTGGAATCCCAGGCATTATCTGGATTCTGATTATGGGAGCAATTTTAGATCAAAAGATCTAAAATTGCTGTCAAGCAAAAGGAATGATGCTTAATCTGTGCTAAGTGGCTCAAGTTAGGTGATATTAATGGTATTCTTGCTGTGAAATAACCACTTTGTTCCTACTCACTGTTCAAATTATAGATTAGCAGTATCCTCCTCTTTGCAGGGGAAAGGCACATGCAGCAAAAATTACTCTCAGTTGTGTGAACTGTTTCCCTTAATGAAGCAGGACAAATTTCCTAATAATAGAGACAGGTGCTTGCTACTTGTACTGTACCTCACACACAGTGGTGAAGAGGAATGTGTGATAACTGAAAAGTGCAAACATGGAGAATATTTTGTGCTTTGTGCTGTCTTTTTCTTTGAGTACTTCCTCAACACTTCACAAACATTACCTGTGAGCCATGTATCTCCTCTAAGATGACAAAACAGTTGACAAGGAAAATGAGGCGTGATACTATTAAGGAATTTGTCTTACAATGAATTATAGGTATGATGAAGAGATTAACCAAGAAGTTCTGGAGGAATATGTGTAATGCTATTTCAAGTTACATGAACTATTTTTTTATTTATCTACTGAAAGTCAAAATTCCCCAAAAGTCATTCAATTATTTCAGTTTAGGATAAAAAAAAGTCAAAAGTCAGAAAGCATTGTCTGTGTTCCTGTTGAATACACAAATACAGGTTTTGCCTGGTTTCAGTGAATAAAATAGGTGTGAGGTCGAGGCAGGATAGTTTAGTGAGAGACCAAGATTCAGTTCCTGCCTCAACAATGACAGCCTCCTGATCGCCAAGACAGTGTTGTCAGTATGTGGTTCCTTTGGTGACATGGTGCTAAACTTGCAGTGGTATCTGGAGCCAGCTGAGCGAGGTTTGGGATTTCCTTGTAAAGACTCAACAGTTTCGGAAGTGTTTTTTCACCCAACATTTCCAAAAGTGTGTGAGCTAAGTTTCTGGCTGCTGTGGGTGTGATTTTTGCATGTGTTAGGGGTTGTGGCAAGACTGCAAGCCAGGCATGCTCCCTCCTGATGCTGTAGCCCAAGTTGCTGCTTTATCAGAACCTTTACATGTACAATTACAGCATTTTCCTTGCACTTATGGTGGGGGTTTGCTTTATGTGAATACTTGTGTTGCTATAGCTACATTTCCCTAATGCTCGTTATTTCCCAGTGTCTTTGTCGCTCATCCAAGGATCCTGGCATTAAGCGAGCTCACAGCATGTAATTTCTGCCTTGGGAGCTATTGGCAGGTGTACAGAATGGCCAAGAGGTACTGCAGCTGGTTTGTTGCCTGGGCTAAATCTACTTCAACCATGAAGGAAGTGTTCAGGGAAACAGGACCTTTCTTACAGCAGTGTGATGGGAAAGACAAGCCTACAATCACTAGTGCCCCTTTCCAAGAGGGTTGAACGGGAAGGAGGAGAAGAAACTGTCATCTCTCAAGGGGACAATTACAGGGAGGGGAGGGATCACGGGCAACTTCAGCTAATTGCTAGGTTGTGTAATGAGCTGGGGTGCTGGACAGCTACTGTATAGTCTCCATTGTGTCCATTGTGCCTGGTTGGGGGTGTACTGCTCCCGGGCATTTTAGCTGGCTTTTGGTTTTGAATGGTTTAATGAGTGAGCTAAATAGCTGCAAAATGCAGAGCAGGCTCTCAAAAAGTTCACTTGCCCTCAGGCATGCCTGTGTATCTGGTGCAGAGCAGAAGGAGCAATGAGTTCTGAACAGCCACCTACTTCCTGTGGGAGGGAGCTATGTACAGAACTCAGTTGCACAAAGAAAGACAGCAAAGAGTTAGTTAGAAAGTAGAGCTGGTCACTGGCAGATCTCGCAGACTGACACCCAGGAGATGCTCCAAACTTCATCTTCTGGAATATCTGTCATATAAGGAGAAGCTGAGAGAACTGTTGTTTAGCATGGAGATGGGAATGTTTGGGGACTATATGTACAAATTCCTACAGGAGAGGGAGTAAACAAGTAAAGAAGGAAGAAACAGACTCCTTTCAGTAGCATCCAGTGACAGGACAAGATGCAATGGGCACAAATTGAAATACAGGAAATTCCATTTAAACTTCAGAAAAAAAAAATTTTACTCCGGTGGTCAGATACCAGAACAGGTTGACTAGACAGATCATGGAGTCTCCATCCTTGGAGATACTCAACACCCAACTGAACAAAGTCCTAAGCTGTAGATGATACTGGTCTGAGTTGGGGGCGTTAGACTAAATGCTCTCCAGAGCTTTCTTCCAATCTCATCTATTCTGTGGATTTGTGTTTCGGTGTTAATGCTTCCGTGCTATTGGGTCTACAGAAGTGAGAACAAGTATGAGGTTCTGTTATTCCTGGTTTGCATTAAGTAATTGACCAAGACAAGAAAAATGGTACCTGTATGTCACTACAGAACATTTTCCTGGTTTTACAAGCTTCTTTCTAAACCTACAGAGCCACATGAGTGCAAAATTATGTGCAAATCACACTTCACTGTTACAGATATCTTTTATAAGTTCTGTGGCCTTCCATCACACACATGAATGGTCATTTAAAAGATCAATCTAATAGTGGATTGTCACCCTCAGTCTGCTTAGACTGCAAGGGTGAGCTCTCTTTTTGGGGTAGGGATCTCAGCTATAATGTTCAGTCAGTAGGCAGGCAATCTTCATGTTGAGCCCAGCTTTGTGACTTAGCAACTGTGAGAAATACTATTCTCCTTCACGGTAACTGTTTTACTGGAGGTAAAACAGTTTACTGGAGCACTGGAGATGCTCTTCCATTATAAATCCAGTAAGAAAGGCACTCAGACTATGCAGAGTGTCATTTAAAGTGCTATTTATTGATGCTAACACTGTAGAAGAAGAGATGATAGTACAGATAATCTTATGTCCCTTCAGATGGCAGAAATTCTGAGCTGTGCAGCATCAAAAAGGCAGCATATGATCCGGGCGCAGCCCATCATGCAGACTCTGTCTGAGAAGGGGTTTCCCTCTTTTGGTCATTTGAATTATTATATGGTTTTGGACAAGAAAACAACTCCATTTTTCTACTACCCAACAGAAGGAGTGTTCACATAAGAAATTCTTGCTACACTTCTAGGTAAAGGCAAGAACTTGAAGGTGGTATGATCACCAGTAGCAAGTGGGAGATGCCTACAGGCTCTCTGTTACAATTAGCTGCCTGTGTTTATTCTGTAGCTGAGATATTCACAGCAGAAGAGGGGACTGAAGGCTAAGCTGTATGTGCAGTACAGCGCAGCCATTGGCCTACTCAGGTTAAACTTTATCCATTGTTGGTGTGCAATGATTGGGATCATTACACTGAGACATATGACACTATCTCCAGTAGTCATTCTGCAGATGGAATTGCAACATACTTGATGAAAGAAACCAGTTTACATGTATTATCTTACACTAATATATCCTAACCCAATCAGATTCAGCTGCTCACAGGGTTTCATAAAACCAGTTCTTGTAAAACTCCAGGAAGATTTACCATTACTCTTCATTTTCAATAAATGAAGGAAGAAAGCACTCCATTGCAAAAGCACCACTGCTTTAAGATCAAGAGCAAGTTTATTTATAAATTAGGCTCTTGTCAGATTTGGACAGATCCTGTTCCTGAGGACAATGAGTACTTTCTTATCATTTATTTTAGGATCTGTAGGACTGGCACCAGTATGGCTATATAGTTGTCAGCACTATGCAGCCCCTGCCTGCTCAGGCAGGAACCTGTCAGGCTGAAGCCAGAGTGCTACATCCTGCCGACCCTCTTCTGGTAATGCTTGTGAAAGAGCCTCAGTGAAAGTTCATGGAGTGATTCTGTGCCAAGGACATGAGTGAATCACTGTGGTGGATGCTGTGGCAGTGGCGATTTGCCCATAGATGGCAGCGTTTGCTGTCCTTTTGATATCCTGGTGATACTTGCATTTACTGTATTTGTTCCACCACAGAAGATTCTGTTGTACAGAAGGCCATAAACTCCAACTGAAAATACAGTTAGAGAAAACTTTCTGACTCATCTCTCAGGCTTTCTAAAAATAAAAATTAAAAGGAAGCCCGAATAGCATGAATAAAGAACACAGAAGTATGACCCTCATTTGTGCTGTGTATTGGAGGAGACGGTGTAGACCTGTTCTCCGTAGCCAGATTCCCCTATACATAAACACATCATAAATGTCTTCTAACTGTTTGCAGTGTATCTACGCTTTGAGTTCAGTGGCCCCATCTATAGAGAATATAAGCGTACCCTAGTAGTGCAGCGTAAAAGAAGAAACCTGTGAGGTGCAGAGAGAATCCCATTTAAGTGGTTTGGCTTATTCAGGAAGTCTACAGCAGAGCTGGAATTTGAATCCCTGAATCCTACCTTTAAAGGGGAAGCTGAGTACAGATGGTTCCTTAGCATCTCCAAGACACCGTATACATCAGCCACATCTGCTGAGCACTTTCTGGTGATGACTCATTGTTTATTTCTCCAAACGTGGTGTAGGGAGAAGATGCATCTATCATTTCATTCCTTTCCTCCTCAAAATATATAGGCTGTCTAGGCTGACTGTCAGCAGTGGAGTTCATGATCAGTACTAGTATGGAGGTAACCAGCCTTTAGCTTCAAACATGTGCAGAACCTTTGCAAGTCTCCAGTTTCCTTAAAATATTTTCCTTCTGTGGATTGAGAGACTCTATCAGATTGCTCCGGGACTGTGATAGATGGAGGGTCTGTCACCCAGCATGTGGTTATTTGTGTCTATCTGGCTGCACTCAGAGTGGGTTTGAGAGTCTCTGAGATTTTCTGTGGGAAAGTTTCTTTATTATAAAACAGATTACAAAATATCTGGAAGGACAGTTCTGTTTTATCTTACTGTGCTAGCAGCCTTAAAGGACAAGATCTGTGTAAATTGTATGTTTCATCCAAAACAAAGTTCAGTCTGAGTGACAATGCCATTATGGGGATCACAACCATAGGATCTGTTTAAAAGCATTTGATTATTATATTCCTATAGGCTAGGAACATGGGATATGCAGAATGTCTCAGAGGTCAGTAATACCTGCTTTACAGAAATGTACAAAAGGTAGCATAATCCCAAAATCTGCCTTTACAGGAAGTTTAAGACTCAATTAATAAAAGATTGTTTTCCCTAGATCTCAATAAAAAGAAATTGAAATGAAACACAGTGCTTCCAGAAATCTTTGTAATATCCCTATAAATCAGGAAAAACTTCCGTCAAACAGCAAACACTTCTGTTGAACAGCTGTAGAGATGGTGCACAAATGCAGATAAACAAATAATGCCATGAAGATTGCCTTGTAAATCCAGAATGCTTTTCCTAACTTACAGAAAAAGCACTCTTGCATAAAGCACAAGAATATTTTCACTGAGAAGCTTTTTAAAGCTGTTCTGATACATAAAGTGAATTGTGCATTCGTGTGCATTCATTGCATAGTCGTACATGTGCAGTAATTAAAATCAAAATGAAAGGCCTAGTACCAAATGAAGGTAACAAAGTTATGAATAAAACTTTGACTGATGACATCGGACAAAACTGCAAATAGTCCTTTACATGCAACATAAAGGTAGCAAATGCAGACTGCATGGAGAGCAATGCTTCTGGGAAGGCTCAGATTCAATGAATTTAAGACAAAACATTGAATTCTGTTAATATTTATGCCAATTTAATTCCAGGGTTACTCCACTAACTTAGTGTTACTCTGGATCTCTATCAATACGGTTGAAATTAGCATCTGGCTCATTGTTATAAATTTAATTTCTATCATTTCCTGACTTCCAACAGACAGAAAAAATGGCCCTTGGCCTTAATTATAATTGTATTACAGCGGCTTTTTCTGAAAGTCATATTTTTAATTTCTATTTAATCCATCCTTCTTTCTGAACTATAAACCTTTAATTCATAATGAAAATAAACAGCTATTTTATTGTCTTGTTTCTACTGCAGTTTTATATTCAAATGCCTCAGGATTTTGTCCTTTCCTGAAATCAAAGAAGTTTTAAAAATATGTACAATTGAGTTAAATAAATTCTCTTATTATATTCTATGTTTAAAAGTTACTCTTTCAATGCAACCACCCCACCTTATAGATAGAGGACTTAGAAGTAGCACTATAGAAACAAGTACAGTCTTACAAACTTGAACAGCAGATTTCTGGTCAAATCTACTCAAACTCACACTAATGAAAACACTTTTTACAAGAGAAATAAACTGTACAGAGAGTTATTTACTCTAAACTGAAACCAGTAGGACCTCCCATAGGTTGGTTCAGATCCTGGATAAAAATTAGAGTCATAGAATAGTTAGTGTTGGAAAGGACCTTAAGATCATCTAGTTCCAACCCCCCTGCCATGGGCAGGGACACCTCACGCTAAACCATCTCACCCAAGGCCTCGTCCAACCTGACCTTGAACACTGCCAGGGATGGAGCATTCACAACGTCCCTGGGCAACCCATTCCAGTGCCTCACCAACCTCACAGGAAAGAATTTCCTCCTTATATCCAATCTAAACTTCCCCTGTTTAAGTTTTAACCCGTTACCCCTTGTCCTGTCACTGGAGTCCCTAATGAAGAGTCCCTCCCCAGCATCCCTACAGGCCCCCTTCAGATACTGGAAGGCTGCTATGAGGTCAACACGCAGCCTTCTCTTCTCCAGGCTGAACAGCCCCAACTTTCTCAGCCTGTCTTCATACGGGAGGTGCTCCAGTCCCCTGATCATCCTCGTGGGCCTTCTCTGGACTTGTTCCAAGTCCTTTTTATGTTGAGGACACCAGAACTGCACACAATACTCCAGGTGAGGTCTCATGAGAACAGAATAGAGGGGCAGGATCACCTCCTTCGACCTGCTGGTCATGCTCCTTTTGATGCAGCCCAGGATACGGTTGGCTTTCTGGGCTGCAAGCGCACACTACTGGCTCATGTTCATTTTCTCATCGACCAGCAATTACAAGATACTTAATGAAAATGATCAGGGGAAGATGAAAGGTAAATGTGTGCCACAATGCACACACAGTCCTTTCATCTGGCTTTGCATTGCATTCCTTTTCACATGGATGCAGAATGAAAGAATACTGATGCTGTCTAAAGATGTTCATATTGCTGGGGAAAAAATAATATTCTATCCAATTATTAGAACACTCTTTCTGCTTTGAAGAGAACCCACTAGATTTTAAAGGCATCTTATTTTTCTGTCAGTTTCTTAAGATGTCTTTTGATGGTGGTATAAATTCCTGGGCTGGAGTGATGACTGGAAATGATTCTACATTGTTCAAGCAACCAAAGCTAAATAAATTGAGTCCTTCCACACAAAAGCATAACTACTGTAGAAAATGCTGATTTGCAGTCCAGAAACCAATAGTGCCCAAGAATATGTAAGGGACAACTAATCTTCCACCAACACCAGCAGAACCTTAGATTTTCATAGTTGCCTCCCGAAAGTGGAACTAATTCCAAAAGCTGCTATCTCCTTGTCAGAGTCCCAAAATATTTTCCATACAATTGATATGTTATTTTACAGAGCACGCAAATTCCATTTTAATTTAACAGCAGTGTTGCAGCACTGGTTGGCTGTTTCTCCAAACTGTGTGTCAAGACTTAAATGACTTACCAACGACATGTTAAGCAAGGTTTTGAAATGCTTTAGAAATCAGAGTAATCTAACAAAGCATGTAATATAACACTTGTCTGTGCTGGCTTGACTTTGCTTTAAAGCAATTACTGAGTGGTCCCTGGAGTCCAACGGGAACAGCAACAGGGAAGAGTCATATTGCAGTCAGTCGGAATCCATTGCTTGAAGGTTCTGAAGGACTTCCAGCACAACTTCATAGCAGAATAAATACTCATCCTGGATGCAAACACATCAATGTGAAACATCTAATTACATTCAACATAAATTCTAGACAAAGAACAATGAACTGTTTGAAGTGTTGCTTATAACACCAGCATCTATGTAACATCGACACAAAAACTTAGATATTTAAGAGAATCTTTGTTCTTTTTGTTCCATCACTTGAAAAGCTCATGAAAGTTTTCTTATTCAGTGCAGTACCTGTAAGCATGTGCTCAAGCCTCATTTAGGTCAGTAAATGCTTAATTTTTATCACACACTCAATCATTATCCTGAAGAAAAATATATCAAAGCATATGACAAAATATTTGCCTACAGGAAGAACGTACCCTGGTCTTGTCTTATTTTATTTCACACCACTTGTTTGCTCAAAACTGAGTTAGCCACATCTTATCTTTTCCTGTGTGAAAGCTCTTTTCAGGGGTAGGTTTAACTCAGCAGTAGTAGGCTTTACTGAGGTGGTGATAACTTAGGAATACAAAGAGTTCAGCTGAAGGCTGCAATTTTTCAGGGTAGAGTTTATGCTGTCTCACTGGTTTTGTTGTTGATCCCTGCTTTTCTTTTTCCTTAAAAAAAAAGTGGGGGAGTGGGGAGGGAATGGGGATGGGACTGGGAGCTGTACTATAATGGTGCTTTGCTTTTATTTCCATTAGTTAGTAAGAAACAGACCTTTCATATTTAGATCTAGACACCGCTTGGCTGGAAGGGTGTTATTTTCCTCAAATGAGAAGGCTAAATTTATAGAATCATGGAATCATAGAATCGTTAGGGTTAGAAAGGACCTTAAGATCATCTAGTTCCAACCCCCCTGCCGTGGGCAGGGACACCTTACGCTAAATCATACCCAAGGCCTCGTCCAACCTGGTCTTGAACACTGCCAGGGATGGAGCATTCACAACCTCCCTGGGCAACCCATTCCAGTGCCTCACCACCCTAACAGGAAAGAATTTCCTCCTTATATCCAATCTAAACTTCCCCTGTTTAAGTTTTAACCCGTTACCCCTTGTCCTATCACTACAGTCTCTAATGAAAAGTCCCTCTCCAGCATCCTTATAGGCCCCCTTCAGATACTGGAAGGCTGCTATGAGGTCTCCACGCAGCCTTCTCTTCTCCAGGCTGAACAGCCCCAACTTCCTCAGCCTGTCTTCATACGGGAGGTGCTCCAGTCCCCTGATCATCCTCATGGCCCTCCTCTGGACTTGTTCCAACATTTGCAAGTCCTTTTTATGTTGAGGACGCCCGAACTGCACACAATACTCCAGGTGAGGTCTCACGAGAACAGAATAGAGGGGCAGGATCACCTCCTTCGACCTGCTGGTCACGCTCCTTTTGATGCAGCCCAGGATAGGGTTATCTTTCTGGGCTGCAAGCGCACACTGCCGGCTCATGTTCATTTTCTCATTGACCACCACCCCCAAGTCCTTCTCCGCAGGGCTGCTCTGAATCTCTTCTCTGCCCAACCTGTAGCTGTGCTTGGGATTGCTCTGACCCAGGTGTAGGACCTTGCACTTGGCATGGTTAAAGTTATGCTTTAAGCCCCAGATTTATCAAAGCATGATTGAGACATTTAAAAATCATAATCTAGTTGAATATTGAAAACTTACCTTTGTTTGGATCATGCCAAATCGCTGATGTCTCAAGTCTCTCACTATCTGCTTGATGTTGAACTATCAGAAGAGAACAGGTTTTATTTTGTTGACATGCAAGTTATAAAGAAAGATTTAAGCAAGTTCAGATGGGGAAGTTCTGACTTAGTTCTGTTACAAATAGTATGTTTGCAGTTATTATCTTTGTTGCTTAAAACAATAAAAGCTGGTTTGTTCCATTTTGTTACATTGAATTCTAACAGGAATTATGCTGGTCTAAGATACTCCCACTGGTTTTTTTGACATCCATACCAATTTGTAATACTTAATGACAATCTGTTTGATACTTACAGATAAATCTTTTTCTATATAGCTGAGCAGAACTTCAACAGCCAGCAAAACTCCACTTCTTCCAATGCCAGTGCTACAGTGAGCAACAATAGGTCCTGTGCTGTGAGCTCTTCTCATGTAACAAATAAATTTTACAAGCTGCTCAGGCAGTTCGGAAGTATTTTGGTCTGGCCAAGTGGTAAACTGCAAATGACTTATAATGCGCTTCTCTTCTGTCTGGAAGAGCAAGACCAAAAATGTTAAGAATGACCAGTTCTAAGACCAAGTTTCAAGTAATTCCACTGATAAATTTTCCATTAGCTTCATTCTTAGTCAATTGTTAGTCTACTGAACAATTCCTCAGCTTTTCATTCTTGAGTCTATTAAGGTTTCTTTTAGGTTTTCAGAAACGTACTCAGAAGACACAGGCCTAGGATATTTACTTCATATAATATATATGACACACTGAAGTTACTCTGGATGTAGTTATCTTATTTGATTAGAAAGGAAAAACAAAAACATTTGTTAAATTACATTCCAGTACTGTATAGTAAAATTAGTTTTGTAACCGAACTAAGTCATACTAATAGAAGAGTAGTAATATGATAGACATGATAGCAAGATTGTAAATGCTATTCTGGTATGAGATATAAAAGAACAATTTGTGATTAGATACACTAACACACAAACCAAATCAAACAAAAAAATTCTTACAAGAATAATCATAATGTAGGTAAATTAAAGAGTATTATTAACAGAATGGTCCTGGGACAGTACTTCTTGTTGCCAGCTTGCCATGTTAAGCTGAATGCAAAAGAACTACCCAGGATTTTTACAATCAGAAAAAAGTGAATGCATTTTTGGATTTCTCCTGAAGTAAAACTATGTCTTTCTGCAGTAATGTAATATTGGTCCAATACAGACATAGCAAACTAAGATAACCATTGAAACAATTACATATAACAGCCTATCTTCTCATCTTAATAATCTTTTGGGGAAACTCATATCAAATGTTTTACTATGCCTCACACTTAGTGACATAAAGTAAATTGGCTTTTCTTTATATAGAGATTTTTTTTTCTTGATGGAAAATGACCAATTTAGTCTGGAACAAGAATGAATCTTTTAATGGTTTCATTAATTTATATGTCCTGCAGAAATTTTTGCAAAGTTAAGTAAAGCTTTGAGGCAAGCTATTGAGGCAAGACTGATGGACTTATAGTTGCCCAGTTTCCATGTTCTTACACTTCGATTCTGTATTTGTAGTTTCTGTATTCACGTCTTCTTTTGACATTAGAAAGAAATATCATTAATTGTAAAATCTAAAAAAAACACTTTCTTCCCCTTCCAGCCAGCATTAGAGAATGTGAATCCACTCTGGCAGCCGTTACTGATTTGACTTAATGAGAACAGTAAGCAATTCTGCAAAACACTGAATGCACCAGCTCTGTGACTATTAAGGGACTAACTTTTGGACATTCTTGTATAACCTTAATTTCATGCCTGTTATTCAGATTTTT